ATCCACCTTAAATCTGGTATGAACACAAACTCACTGGCTCACTTAATGTATCTCTTTCCCTTGAGCCGTTACTTCTGTAGAAAGCCCAGAACAGGTTACGTCTAGCTAACAGTAGAAATGAGAAAATAACAGACCTGTAGCAAGCACCCTGCAGAGCTGGGACCAGCGTCGCTGTAGTAAACACGCTGGAGACGGATGCGCTCGGGAACGACAGCCTGAAATCCTCCGCGAGCGGATTCGTAAACAATACAGGTCGGGTATGCTTATGAACGGTGGCCCGTATTCCGTGTGAATGGTGGTACTCGTCTCCCCTTCTTCAAAGAACTTGGGGACCGCGGGAATCGGTGCTTGGGGGACAAGACAATAAAATGCAACAAATCCGGAGAAATAATCCGTATAAAACACTGATAACTGGAACTTATGGAGAATCTTGGGGGATTGCACGAGATGTGGAATAAAACATATGCACAAAAAAACAGGGGTTGAAATATCTTGGGCACCGCTATTGAACAACGAACCGAAGAACATCTATGGTGCAACCAAAGCCAGTAATTCGAGACTGGAACCGTTGAACACTATCCAAGACGTCTTGACTGAAGTCGGCAGAACGATGATGCAGATATCTTGGCGAGGTCCTCTTGATCACCGCGTGGGAACGTTTACTCACTGCGCCAATGTAGAGGTGACCCACGTGTTACAACAATAGTACAGTAATTCACCTGGAACTGTCGTCGTAGGGAGAGGAAGGGCTGGTAGGGTAGGTGGAGCAAGTCTAGGCTCCTCAGGAAGGGTAGGACAGAGGGAATCAATGCCTCTTAGGGGTCCTATGGGCACATATCCTAAGTGCCAGTGGTGCCGGGCAGGCGTCGTCCGCGTTGGGTCACATGCAGTTCAAATCTGGCCCACTCGGCCTGCGCGGGCTGCCGCGCGGGTAGGCCGTGCGCCGTCGTCGTCCACCAATCAGGGCACAGCCCTGCCTATACTGTAAAATGTCTCCTTGGCGGGCACTTTGAATGTGGTTCCCTCTACACTATACATACATGACCTTAATATCCTAAGAGACGATGCTCACAGTGAGAAATGGAGTCTCACTAATATAATTCGATCAACTCGACTCTACTGGTGTTAGGCTCAGTCAGTCCTCATAAACAATGGCCAAATGCTCGTCGATTTGGCTCATTTGCATAAGCAAGAAATAATTGTGGTCTTCTTTAAAATATGTTGTCGAGTTTATATAATTTTTTATTATTTTTCATTCTTGTATATTAATTTTAGGGTTTTAATTTTTTATTCATTAAATCATTTAGTGAAACATATAATTCTGAACTATATTAATGTTTTTAACTATCTTCCGTTACATGTATCTTATATGCTAGCACTGAAGATGGAGCTATGATTCCCAGATGTTTGTTATTGTAAATAAACTGAAAAAGACGCATATCTTTTCACTTAATATTTATTTAAGGGGTGACTGTCCCTCAGAGTAACACACGGGGTGACCGTCTCTCAGAGTAACACACAGGGTGACCGTCCCTCAGAGTAACACACGGGTGACCGTCCCTCAGAGTAACACACGGGGTGACCGTCCCTCAGAGTAACACACAGGGTGACCGTCCCTCAGAGTAACACACGGGGTTACTGTCCTCAGAGTAACACACAGGGTGACCGTCCCTCAGAGTAACACACGGGGTGACCGTCCCTCAGAGTAACACACGGGGTGACTATCCCTCAGAGTAACACACAGGGTGACCGTCCCTCAGAGTAACACACAGGGTCACTGTCCCTCAGAGTAACACACAGGGTGACCGTCCCTCAGAGTAACACACAGGGTGACCGTCCCTCAGAGTAACACACGGGGTGACCGTCCCTCAGAGTAACACACGGGGTGACTGTCCCTCAGAGTAACACACGGGTGACCGTCCCTCAGAGTAACACACAGGGTGACCGTCCCTCAGAGTAACACACAGGGTGACTGTCCCTCAGAGTAACACACGGGGTGACCGTCCCTCAGAGTAACACACAGGGTGACCGTCCCTCAGAGTAACACACAGGGTGACTGTCCCTCAGAGTAACACACTGGTGACCGTCCCTCAGAGTAACACACAGGGTGACCGTCCCTCAGAGTAACACACAGGGTGACTGTCCCTCAGAGTAACACACAGGGTGACCGTCCCTCAGAGTAACACACAGGGTGACCGTCTCTCAGAGTAACACACAGGGTGACCGTCCCTCAGAGTAACACACGGGGTGACTGTCCCTCAGAGTAACACACAGGGTGACCGTCCCTCAGAGTAACACACGGGTGACCGTCCCTCAGAGTAACAAACGGGGTGACTATCCCTCAGAGTAACACACAGGGTGACCGTCCCTCAGAGTAACACACAGGGTGACCGTCTCTCAGAGTAACACACAGGGTGACCGTCCCTCAGAGTAACACACAGGGTGACCGTCCCTCAGAGTAACACACAGGGTGACCGTCCCTCAGAGTAACACACGGGGTTACTGTCCTCAGAGTAACACACAGGGTGACCGTCCCTCAGAGTAACACACGGGGTGACTGTCCCTCAGAGTAACACACGGGGTGACCGTCACTCAGAGTAACATACGGGGTGACTGTCCCTCAGAGTAACACACAGGGTGACTGTCCCTCAGAGTAACACACAGGGTGACTGTCCCTCAGAGTAACACACAGGGTGACCGTCCCTCAGAGTAACACACAGGGTGACTGTCCCTCACAGTAACACACGGGGTGACCGTCCCTCAGAGTAACACACAGGGTGACCGTCCCTCAGAGTAACACACAGGGTGACTGTCCCTCAGAGTAACACACAGGGTGACTGTCCCTCAGAGTAACACACTGGGTAACCGTCCCTCAGAGTAGCACACAGGGTGACCGTCCCTCACAGTAACACACGGGGTGACTGTCCCTCAGAGTAACACACGGGGTGACTGTCCCTCAGAGTAACACACGGGGTGACCGTCCCTCAGAGTAACACACAGGGTGACCGTCCCTCAGAGTAACACACGGGGTGACCGTCCCTCAGAGTAACACACAGGGTGACCGTCCCTCAGAGTAACACACGGGGTGACTCCCTCAGAGTAACACACGGGGTGACTGTCCCTCAGAGTAACACACGGGGTGACTGTCCCTCAGAGTAACACACAGGGTGACTGTCCCTCAGAGTAACACACAGGGTGACTGTCCCTCAGAGTAACACACAGGGTGACCGTCCCTCAGAGTAACACACGGGGTGACTGTCCCTCAGAGTAACACACGGGGTGACTGTCCCTCAGAGTAACACACGGGTGACCGTCCCTCAGAGTAACACACGGGGTGACTGTCCCTCAGAGTAACACACGGGTGACTGTCCCTCAGAGTAACACACGGGGTGACTGTCCCTCAGAGTAACACACAGGGTGACCGTCCCTCAGAGTAACACACAGGGTGACTGTCCCTCAGAGTAACACACGGGGTGACTGTCCCTCAGAGTAACACACTGGGTGACTGTCCCTCAGAGTAACACACGGGGTGACTGTCCCTCAGAGTAACACACGGGGTGACTGTCCCTCACAGTAACACACGGGGTGACCGTCCCTCAGGGTAACACACAGGGTGACTGTCCCTCAGAGTAACACACGGGGTGACTGTCCCTCAGAGTAACACACGGGGTGACCGTCCCTCAGAGTAACACACGGGGTGACCGTCCCTCAGAGTAACACACGGGGTGACTGTCCCTCAGAGTAACACACGGGGTGACCGTCCCTCAGAGTAACACACGGGGTGACCGTCCCTCAGAGTAACACACGGGGTGACCGTCCCTCAGAGTAACACACGGGGTGACTGTCCCTCAGAGTAACACACAGGGTGACCGTCCCTCAGAGTAACACACAGGGTGACTGTCCCTCAGAGTAACACACGGGTGACTGTCCCTCAGAGTAACACACGGGTGACCGTCCCTCAGAGTAACACACGGGGTTACTGTCCTCAGAGTAACACACAGGGTGACCGTCCCTCAGAGTAACACACGGGGTGACTGTCCCTCAGAGTAACACACAGGGTGACTGTCCCTCAGAGTAACACACGGGGTGACTGTCCCTCAGAGTAACACACGGGGTGACTGTCCCTCAGAGTAACACACGGGGTGACTGTCCCTCAGAGTAACACACGGGGTGACCGTCCCTCACAGTAACACACGGGGTGACTGTCCCTCAGAGTAACACACGGGGTGACTGTCCCTCAGAGTAACACACGGGGTGACTGTCCCTCACAGTAACACACGGGGTGACTGTCCCTCAGAGTAACACACAGGGTGACTGTCCCTCAGAGTAACACACGGGTGACCGTCCCTCAGAGTAACACACGGGTGACTGTCCCTCAGAGTAACACACGGGGTGACTGTCCCTCAGAGTAACACACGGGGTGACTGTCCCTCAGAGTACCACAGGGATGACCGTCCCTCAGAGTACCACAGGGGTGACCGTCCCTCAGAGTACCACAGGGGTGACCGTCCCTCAGAGTACCACACGGGGTGACCGTCCCTCAGAGTAACACACGGGGTGACTGTCCCTCAGAGTAACACACAGGGTGACTGTCCCTCAGAGTAACACACGGGGTGACTGTCCCTCAGAGTAACACACGGGTGACTGTCCTCAGAGTAACACACGGGGTGACCGTCTCTCAGAGTAACACACGGGGTGACTGTCCCTCAGAGTAACACACGGGGTGACTCCCTCAGAGTAACACACGGGGTGACCGTCCCTCAGAGTAACACACGGGGTGACTGTCCCTCACAGTAACACACGGGGTGACCGTCCCTCAGAGTAACACACGGGGTGACCGTCCCTCAGAGTAACACACGGGGGTGACCGTCCCTCAGAGTAACACACGGGGTGACTCCCTCAGAGTAACACACAGGGTGACTGTCACTCAGAGTAACACACGGAGTGACAGTTCCTCTGAGCAAGACACTAGATGATTGTAGAAGTGTAACCAGGACCTACTACTGTTTTGCTTCTCCTGGTTGATGCTCGGAGTCCCTCCTGGTTGACGCTCGGAGTCCCTCCTGGTGGACGCTCGGAGACCCTCCTGGTGGACGCTCGGAGACCCTCCTGGTGGACGCTCGGAGACCCTCCTGGTGGACGCTCGGAGACTCTCCTAGTGAACGCTCGGAGACCTTCCTGGTGGACTCGGAGACCCTCCTGGTGGACGCTCGGAGACCCTCCTGGTGGACGCTCGGACACCCTCCTGGTGCACGCTTGGAGACTCGCCTGGTGGACGCTCGGAGACCCTCCTGGTGGACGCTTGGAGACCCTCCTGGTGGACGCTCGGAGACCCTCCTGGTGGACGCTCGGAGACCCTCCTGGTGGACGCTCGGAGACCCTCCTGGTGGACGCTCGGAGACCCTCCTGGTGCACGCTCGGAGACCCTCCTGGTGGACGCTCGGAGACCCTCCTGGTGGACGCTTGGAGACCCTCCTGGTGGACGCTCGGAGACCCTCCTGGTGGACGCTCGGAGACCCTCCTGGTGGACGCTCGGAGACCCTCCTGGTGGACGCTCGGAGACCCTCCTGGTGGACGCTCGGAGACCCTCCTGGTGGACGCTCGGAGACCCTCCTGGTGGACGCTCGGAGACCCTCCTGGTGGACGCTCGGAGACCCTCCTGGTGGACGCTCGGACACCCTCCTGGTGGACGCTCGGAGACCCTCCTGGTGGACGCTCGGAGACCCTCCTGGTGGACGCTCGGAGACCCTCCTGGTGGACGCTCGGAGACCCTCCTGGTGGACGCTTGGAGACCCTCCTGATGGACGCTTGGAGACCCTCCTGGTGGACGCTTGGAGACCCTCCTGGTGGACGCTCGGAGACCCTCCTGGTTGATGCTCGGAGACCCTCCTGGTGGACGCTCGGAGACCCTCCTGGTGGACGCTCGGAGACCCTCCTGGTGGACGCTCGGAGACCCTCCTGGTGCATGCTCGGAGACCCTCCTGGTGCACGCTCGGAGACCCTCCTGGTGGACGCTCGGAGACCCTCCTGGTGGACGCTCGGAGACTCTCCTGGTGAACGCTCGGAGACCCTCCTGGTGGACGCTCGGAGACCCTCCTGGTGGACGCTCGGACACCCTCCTGGTGCACGCTTGGAGACCCTCCTGGTGGACGCTCGGAGACCCTCCTGGTGGACGCTTGGAGTCCCTCCTGGTGGACGCTCGGAGACCCTCCTGGTGGACGCTCGGAGACCCTCCTGGTGGACGCTCGGAGACCCTCCTGGTGGACGCTTGGAGACCCTCCTGGTGCACGCTCGGAGACCCTCCTGGAGACGCTCGGAGACCCCTGGTGGACGCTCGGAGACCCTCCTGGTGGACGCTCGGAGACCCTCCTGGTGGACGCTCGGAGACCTTCCTGGTGGACGCTCGGAGACCCTCCTGGTGGACGCTCGGAGACCCTCCTGGTGGACGCTCGGAGACCCTCCTGGTGGACGCTCGGAGACCCTCCTGGTGGACGCTTGGAGACCCTCCTGGTGGACGCTCGGAGACCCTCCTGGTGGACGCTCGGAGACCCTCCTGGTGGACGCACGGAGACTCTCCTGGTTGACGCTCGGAGACTCTCCTGGTGGACGCTCGGAGACCCTCCTGGTGGACGCTCGGAGACCCTCCTGGTGGACGCTCGGAGACCCTCCTGGTGGACGCTTGGAGACCCTCCTGATGGACGCTTGAAGACCCTCCTGGTGGACGCTTGGAGACCCTCCTGGTGGACGCTCGGAGACCCTCCTGGTTGATGCTCGGAGACCCTCCTGGTGGACGCTAGGAGACCCTCCTGGTGGACGCTCGGAGACCCTCCTGGTGGACGCTCGGTGACCCTCCTGGTGCATGCTCGGAGACCCTCCTGGTGCACGCTCGGAGACCCTCCTGGTGGACGCTCGGAGACCCTCCTGGTGGATGCTCGGAGACCCTCCTGGTGGACGCTTGGAGACCCTCCTGGTTGACGCTCGGAGACCCTCCTGGTGGACGCTCGGAGACCCTCCTGGTGGACGCTCGGAGACCCTCCTGGTGGACGCTCGGAGACCCTCCTGGTGGACGCTCGGAGACCCTCCTGGTGAACGCTCGGAGACCCTCCTGGTGGACGCTTGGAGACCCTCCTGGTGGACGCTCTGAGACCCTCCTGGTGGACACTTGGAGACCCTCTTGGTGGACGCTTGGAGACCCTCCTGGTGGACGCTCGGAGACCCTCCTGGTGCACGCTCGGTGACCCTCCTGGTGGACGCTCGGACACCCTCCTGGTGGACGCTCGGAGACTCTCCTGGTGAACGCTCGGAGACCCTCCTGGTGCACGCTCGGAGACCCTCCTGGTGGACGCTCGGACACCCTCCTGGTGGACGCTCGGACACCCTCCTGGTGGACGCACGGAGACTCTCCTGGTTGACGCTCGGAGACTCTCCTGGTGGACGCTCGGACACCCTCCTGGTGGACGCTCGGAGACCCTCCTGGTTGACGCTCGGAGACCCTCCTGGTGGACGCTCGGAGACCCTCCTGGTGGACGCTCGGAGACCCTCCTGGTGCACGCTCGGTGACCCTCCTGGTGGACGCTCGGAGACCCTCCTGGTGGACGCTCGGAGACCCGGCTTTTGTTTTCAATCATTGTCTACGACTGACGGCTGGAGGCGGACTTTCTTCCATGAACTTCCCTGACAATTGTTTCCTTTGCAAAGCTTCCTTATGTGTACCGAATGATTTTTTATCTCTAGACAAAGACTGCTTATATATTCCAAACATTCTTCAGTGTCTATTCGAAGATTGCTTAAGGTAACTACAGAGGGACTATTGGCCATTACATTGCAGCATCTATTTATATCCGCCCATCTCGTTCATATATACGTCCAACTTTGGCTATAATACATTAATCTGGTCCACAGCCCTGTTTCCGAACCAATATTTATATCCATTGGTATATCTTTTCACTGTAGTATCATGTGATTTCTAGAGTCATGTCAATGATGATTCATAGCATTACCTATTTTCTATGTTTTAGGGTCCAATCAACGAGTTTTCAAAGCCACAAGACGTTTTCTAGCATCTAAGTAACAATTCCTCATAGCATTGTGCATTTTCTAGTCATGTCCACTATTGGGACCGACTAAAATGCCTAAATCTGTATTCTGTTGAGCGCAGTACATAATAACATGTTGAGCGCAAGTACATAATAATATACACGTGGAAAATATTAGAAAGACTGGTCCCAAAGCTACACAAAGAAATAACACCACATTAAACCAGAAGACATGGCAGGATGTGCAGAATACTCCCGTTGAAAAGTAGAGGTGCAACAGGTACTCTGAGAGAGAACTCGATCAACACCAGAGGCCAAAGACTGTTCAAACGCTTCCACTACACATGAGGGACATAACTGGCCGACACCTCACAGTGTTCAATAAAGAACTTGACAAACACCTCCAAAGAATACCTGATCAACCAGGCTGTGACTCATCGCATCCAACAGCCTTGTTGACCAGTCCAGCAACGAGGAGGGCTGATTCCTCTGAGAATCTTGTATGTGGTGATCATGTCCCCTCTAACTCTTCTGTCTCCCAGTGACGTGAGGTTTAATTCCCGAAGTCTCTCCTCGTAGCTCATACTTCTCAGTTCGGGTCCTAGTCTGGTGGCAAACCTTTGAACCTTTTCTAGTTTAGTCTTATGCTTGACTAGATATAGACACCATGCTGGAGCCGCATACTCCAAGATTGGTCTGATATATGTGGTATACAAAGTTCTGAAAGATTCCTTACACAAGTTTCTAAAGGCCGTTCTTATGTTAGCCAACCTGGCATATGCCGCTGATGTTATCCTCTTGATATGAGCTTCAGGGGACAGATCTGGCGTGATATCAACCCCCAGGTCTTTCTCTCTCTCTGACTCTTGAAGTATTTCATCCCCCAAATGATACCTTGTGTCTGGTCTCCTGCTCCCTATCAGGATCTTCATTACATTGCATTTGCTTGGGTGAAACTCTAACACCCATTTGTTCGACCATTCCTGCAGCTTGTCCAGGTCTTCTTGAAGCCTCAAGCAGTCCTCCTCTGTCTTAATACTTCTCATAATTTTGGCATCGTCAGCAAACATTGAGAGGAAAGAGTCTATACCCTCCGGGAGATCATTTACGTATATCAGAAACAGGATAGGTCCGAGTACAGAGCCCTGTGGGACTCCACTGGTGACTTCACGCCAATCCGAGGTCTCACCCCTCACTGTAACTCTCTGCTTTCTATTGCTTAGGTACTCCCTTATACACTGGAACACCTTACCAGCTACACCTGCCTGTCTCTTCAGCTTATGTACCAGCCTCTTATGCGTACTGTGTCAAAGGATTTCCGACAATCCAAGAAAATGCAGTCCGCCCAGCCTTCTCTTGCTTGCTTAATCTTTGTCACCTGGTTGTAGAATTCTATCAAGCCAGACAGGCAAGATTTACCCTCCCTGAACCCATGTTGTCGATTTGTCACGAAGTCCCTTCTCTCCAGATGTGTTATCAAGGTTTTTTTCACGATCTTCTCCATCACTTTGCATAGTATACAAGTCAAGGACCATGGCCTGTAGTTCAGTGTGTGTGTGTGTGTGTGTGTGTGTGTACTCACCTAGTTGTACTCACCTAGTTGTGTTTGCGGGGGTTGAGCTCTGGCTCTTTGGTCCCGCCTCTTAACCGTCAATCAACAGATGTACAGATTCCTGAGCCTATCGGGCTCTGTCATATCTACACTTGAAACTGTGTATGGAGTCAGCCTCCACCACATCACCCCCTAATGCATTCCATTTGTCAACCACTCTGACACTAAAAAAATATCTCTGTGGCTCATTTGGGCACTCAGTTTCCACCTGTGTCCCCTTGTGCGTGTTCCCCTTGTGTTAAATAGACTGTCTTTATCTACCCTATCAATTCCCTTCAGAATCTTGAATGTGGTGATCATGTCCCCCCTAACTCTTCTGTTTTCCAGCGAAGTGAGGTTTAATTCCCGTAGTCTCTCCTCGTAGCTCATACCTCTCAGCTCGGGTACTAGTCTGGTGGCAAACCTTTGAACCTTTTCCAGTTTAGTCTTATCCTTGACTAGATATGGACTCCATGCTGGGGCTGCATACTCCAGGATTGGCCTGACATATGTGGTATACAAAGTTCTGAATGATTCTTTACACAAGTTTCTGAATGCCGTTCGTATGTTGGCCAGCCTGGCATATGCCGCTGAAGTTATCCGCTTGATATGTGCTGCAGGAGACAGGTCTGGCGTGATATCAACCCCCAAGTCTTTTTCCTTCTCTGACTCCTGAAGAATTTCCTCTCCCAGATGATACCCTGTATCTGGCCTCCTGCTCCCTACACCTATCTTCATTACATTACATTTCGTTGTGTGTGTGTGTGTGTGTGTGTGTGTGTGTGTGTGTGTGTGTGTGTGTGTGTGTGTGTGTGTGTGGTGTGTGTGTGTGTGTTTACTAGTTGTGTTTTTACGGGGGTTGAGCTTTGCTCTTTCGGCCCGCCTCTCAACTGTTTACTAACTACTATTTTTTTTTTTTCTTTTTTTCCACACCACACACACACACACCCCCAGAAAGCAGCCCGTGACAGCTGACTAACTCCCAGGTACCTATTTACTGCTAGGTAACAGGGGCATTCAGGGTGAAAGAAACTTTGCCCATTTGTTTCTGCCTCGTGCGGGAATCGAACCCGCGCCACAGAATTACGAAACCTGCGTGCTATCAACCAGGCTACGAGGCCCCTAATGTGTGTGACTGTGTGTGTGTGTGTGTGTGTGTGTGTGTGTGTGTGTGTGTGTGTGTGTGTGTGTGTGTGTGTGTGTACTCACCTAGTTGTACTCACCTAGTTGTGCTTGCGGGGGTTGAGCTCTGGCTCTTTGGTCCCGCCTCTCAACCATTAATCAACAGGTGTACAGGTTCCTGAGTCTATTGGGCTCTATCATATCTACACTTGAAACTGTGTATGGAGTCAGCCTCCACCACATTGCTTCCTAATGCATTCCATTTGTCAACCACTCTGACACTAAAAAAGTTCTTTCTAATATCTCTGTGGCTCATTTGGGCACTCAGTTTCCACCTGTGTCCCCTAGTGCGTGTGCCCCTTGTGTTAAATAGCCTGTCTTTATCAACCCTGTCGATTCCCTTGAGAATCTTGAATGTGGTGATCATGTCCCCCCTAACTCTTCTGTCTTCCAACGAAGTGAGGTTCAATTCCCGTAGTCTCTCCTCGTAGCTCATACCTCTCAGCTCGGGTACTAGTCTGGTGGCAAACCTTTGAACCTTTTCCAGTTTAGTCTTATGCTTGACTAGATATGGACTCCATGCTGGAGCCGCATACTCCAGGATTGGTCTGACATATGTGGTATATAATGTTCTGAAAGATTCCTTACACAAGTTTCTAAAGGCCGTTCTTATGTTAGCCAACCTGGCATATGCTGCTGATGTTATCCTCTTGATATGAGCTTCAGGGGACAGGTCTGGCGTGATATCAACCCCCAGGTCTTTCTCTCTCTCTGACTCTTGAAGTATTTCATCTCCCAAGTGATACCTTGTATCTGGTCTCCTGCTTCCTACCCCTATCTTCATTACATTACATTTGCTTGGGTTAAACTCTAACATCCATTTGTTCGACCATTCCTGCAGCTTGTCCAGGTCTTCTTGAAGCCTCAAGCTGTCCTCCTCTGTCTTAATCCTTCTCATAATTTTGGCGTCGTCAGCAAACATTGAGAGGAATGAGTCTATACCCTCTGGGAGATCATTTACGTATATCAGAAACAGGATAGGTCCAAGTACAGAGCCCTGTGGGACTCCACTGGTGACTTCACGCCAGTCTGAGGTCTCACCCCTCACTATAACTCTCTGCTTCCTATTGCTTAGGTACTCCCTTATCCACTGGAGCGCCCTACCAGTTACTCCTGCCTGTTTCTCCAGCTTATGCATCAACCTTTTATGGGGTACTGTGTCAAAGGCTTTCCGACAGTCCAAAAAAATGCAGTCCGCCCATCCTTCTCTTTCTTGCTTAATCTTTGTCACCTGATCATAGAATTCTATCAAGCCTGTAAGGCAAGATTTACCCTCCCTGAACCCATGTTGATGAGTTGTCACGAAGTCTCTTCTCTCCAGATGTGTTACTAGGTTTTTTCTCACAATCTTCTCCATCACCTTGCATGGTATACAAGTTAAGGACACTGGCCTGTAGTTCAGTGCCTCTTGTCTGTCACCCTTTTTGTATATTGGTACTACATTAGCAGTCTTCCATATTTCTGGTAGGTCTCCCGTTTCCAGTGACCTACTATACACTATGGAGAGTGGTAGGCAAAGTGCTCCTGCACACTCTTTCAATACCCATGGTGAGATTCCATCCGGCCCAACAGCTTTTCTCACATCCAGCTCCAATAGGTGCTTCTTGACCTCATCTCTTGTAATTTCGAACCTTTCCAAGGTCACCTGGTTTGCTGCCACCTCTTCTAGCGCCGCGACATCAGTTCTATTGTAAAGACCTCCTGGAACCTTTTGTTGAGTTCTTCTACACCTCTTTGTCATTCTCTGTGTACCTGTCCTCGCCCATGTGTTTTCCTTTTGTACAAACTTGTTTGCACCTTCTGCGTGCGCGCGTGTACT